TCGTTCTACTATAAGGACACGTGTACACGAATGTTCATTGCAGCACTGTTTACAATAGCAAAGACCTGGAACCAACCCAAATGCCCATCGACGATAGACTGGATAGGGAAAATGTGGCACATATACACCATGGAATATTATGCAGCCATCAAAAACGATGAGTTTGGGTCCTTTGTAGGGACATGGATGAACCTGGAAACCATCATTCTCAGCAAACTGACAGAAGAGCAGAAGATCAAACACCGCATGTTCTCACTCATAGGCGGGTGTTGAACAATGAGAACACATGGACACAGGGAGGGGAGCACTACACACTGGGGTCAGTTGGGGGGAAATAGGGGAGGGAGGGTGGGGGGTGGGAAGCTGGGGAGAGATAGCAAGGGGAGAAATGCCAGATGTAGGTGATGGGGAGGAAGGCAGCAAATCACACTGCCACGTGTGTTCCTATGCAACAATTTTGCATGTTCTTCACATGTACCCCAAAATGTAAAATGCAATAAAATAAATAAATGGGAAAAAATAAAAATAAAAAATAAAAAAAAAATAAGACCCAACAACTGTCCCTAAGGAGAGATACCTACAAATAAGCATACAATTAACACAGAGCATGTTAATTTTAGATATAAATATAAGATGCTATTGGAAGCGCAGGAAAAGTCTACCTGGATCTTGGAATAAGGAATGACATATATGCAATCTGACAGATAAATTAGAGTCAATCAAGAAAATAAGGAAAGGGCATTCCAGGCAGAAGGACTCGACCGTAAAGGTTCAAAAGAAAAAGAGATGATGTGTTCAAGAAGGAAAGTGGTTCGATGCAGCTGGCGTAGAGGGTAAGATGGTGATGGATGTGCGGACGACTCTGTCATTGTTAGCAGGAGCCCCTTATGAAGATTCTTCTGTGACATGCTGAGGAGTACGGGCTTTGTCCTATGAGATTTGAAGCCACTTTAAACCAAATTGCATCTGCCCAGGTATTTCTAACTATTTCTTTCTTTACCTATATGCTATTTTTATTTTATTTAAGGACTACGAATGCTGAAGTTTCCCCAACTGCCCTGGAAGAGTTTGTCCAACATCTTGGCTAGATCACTCTAGTCCAAGAATTCTAATGCTTGGTTTCAGAAGCATACAGCAGATCACTCACAGGCACTCAGAGGTAGCAGGTCCATTTTTAAGTTCGCTTTCCTTTCTCTTTGCCAACTCACTCTCTTAATCCCCTAATCTGCTGCCAGGTATTCTGTGACCTGGTATTCTAACCTGACAACATTCTAGTTCACAATGATCTCTTTATTTCTGAAATGAAGAATGGTCAGAAATCCCTATTCCTTTTCCATTTTTGCTAACCGATTTAAGAGCAAAGGTGCATATCTGATATTGTATAATTATGTGGCCTTTCTTCTTTAGTCAGAACTGCTGGAATGATGCTAAATCGAAGGCAAGCGCCTATGCGAGCTCTGTAGTGAGTGGAGCCCTCAAAAGGTACTTACCATTGCCTGGCCATTGTGAATCTGTGTGTTCCCTATCATCGGAATAGTGAAGATTTTCTTCCCATCAATCACTGGATAAAAGGAATGATGCCCTTCAAAAAAATTCCCATTAACCTGTAAAACTTCAAGTCACTTCTGACATTTTGAGCTATTGGCTGGATACTTAGCCCGAAGATGTTTTTAATGAATTTCTTCTACTTCAAAACAGCAGCAGAAAAAAAAAATCTGTTTGTGTGTTATGTGGGTCACAGTCAGGAAATAGGTATATATAGCAGATCTCGGGAGAGGAACAAAGATCTAGAGAGGGTTTTGAGGTCAGTATAAGTCTACTAGACACATCAAATCTGTTAGACATGTTGGTAGCGAGGCACAATTTTATGATTCCTCTGCTGAATGGAGCTTTTAAGAAGCTACTGATCCTACCCCTCTTTTGACTATACAGTAACATAAGCAGCTAACATTTATGAGCATTTATTTTGTGTTAGTTGCTGATTTAAGAATTTTAAATGTATCAAATTTAATCTTCACGATAATCCAAAACATGTGCTCATAATCACCATTTTACAGATGTGGAAACTGAAGGCACAGAGATTAAGGGACTTATGGAGGTAACAGCTTGGTGCACAGATGCATTTCACACCCAAGTAATCCTTCAAGGCCAGGAAATATTGGCATCCAAAGCATTCTTAAGTATCAGAAATTCTGAACCAGGGGCAAGGAGTTGAATAGATATATACATTTTAGGTTTTTATTACAGCCATGAATTTGGTAGAGGAATGCTGGAGAAATGATGGAATGTTTTACAATGAAAAACAGAACATTTTCTATGGATCTCCAGCTACCTCTGCACTTTTATACTTCAGCCTGATATCAGTCTCTTTATCTGCCATTGAGACACCCCAAAAGGCACCGGGCTACAAAATACACATATGAATTAAAACAAATGCTTCAACTGGGTTCTGACTGACAGTGTATGAGGCTGAAACCCAACCTATCCAGAACTTGGATGAGTTCTGGACACTCATAAGAGGTAACTGTGGGACAGCCCTGCTGACCAAATGGCCCTAAAGCAAGACTTTAGTCCAACATTGGAGTGCTTTTTCATGGGATCTGATGAGTCAGGGTTTATGTTTGCACTGCAGAGTCACATCTGAGAAATTCTTTTTCTGCCCCATTGTTTTTCTCTTTTGATCACTAGGTAATTTCCATTTCTATTAAATTCAGATTTGTCAAAGAGCATGCAATGAATGCTAAAACCAATGTTCCTAACTTCTCTTCTTGCTATTCCTATATCCAGCCAGGAGAGGGCAGTCAGAGTACATTTTAGAGACTATAGGCGGCTGCTGACGGTGGGAACCCTCAGAAAGATTTTCCCTTTTAATGTGAGGTACCCCTGAATCCCTTTCTTCAGGGTAATGTGAAAACCCAAATTTTAAAGCCATATGTAACATGCTGTCCTAAATAACAGCAGAGTGTTATGGTCCCTTTTAAGGCACTAGTCAAAGCTTAATCTTTAAAAGCACAGATGGCAATAAATGTGATCAGAATTCAATTAAAAGCACAGAAAAATATAATCAGAATGCAAGTTTCCATTAAGCAGAGAGTTAAGGGTGGATCAGACTGAAAACACCAGTGTCTTCCGTGTCCTTGAGACACTCACTGTGGTATAATTAAAAGTTATTTTTCAGCACCTTGCAATATATTTCTGTTAAAATACAATTTCGGGTTCTGCTTGCAAAATTTGGATTCTTCTACTGAGGCTGGGCACAGGTCTTTCACTTTTCACTAAAAAACCTTAGCAGTGATTGAGTTATTAATAACAACACGGGCTTAGGGCCATCAGACATTACGTGCAGGAGTAAAAGAAAGGTTATATCTTATAGTAAACTTTCTATTTTTGTCTCCGCCTTCTTGATTGAAGCTACAGTAATTCTCACAACCAGCTTTATCAGGTGGTTCCTTAATAGGAAGACAGGGTTTAGAGCCAGGTAGAATTTGTTTCATAGTTTGGCTCAGTGAAAAGATTTGGGGCAAGTCTCATAATTTCTGGGTCAGATTTTCCCCAGCAAAATGAACACTGCTCTGATCTTAATTGAAGCAGGAGAAGTAAGAATTGAAGCAGGAGCTGCTGCTGATTTTGTCGTTATTTTGACCAAATTAGCCGGACACTAACCAGTGGCTTCCTTCCGAAGAGTAGCTAAGCTTTCCTCTGCTCTGGCAATGCAAATGTAAGTCCAATGATTCTGGCTTTTACCTAACATGCCAGTTTTCAATATTAAAAGGCAAAAATTCAACTTTGGAGGTTTTGACCCCCCAGATAGTTACATTTCTCAAATTTCTTTTCTATAAAATTTTCTACATACTTTTCTTCCCTTTAGGAATGTGAACACTAAAAATAATGAAAAAAATAGCAAAAAAAGTTCTCATGACTAGTCACAGTTGACTCTAAGTAAGTGAAACAGTTACCTCTTAGGAACCAAATTTGGTTCTTAAAAAAAAAAAAAAAAACGTATTTTCAGCAAATACCATAAATGTACCAAAAGCTATTCTTAGGTTATTTGTATATTGTCTTGCATTTTATGTATGTAAATTTAATGCAGAAATAAAATTATCAGCTTTAAGAAAACACTTTCACAAACATGATTTCTTATTTTATAACAGTCTTCTAAAGAAACAGATATTACTTTATTCATATTCTACCAATAAATAAACTGATGCTAAAGGATCTACACAGATCTCAGAAACCAGGTTTTCAGACTCCTAGCTCAGTCCTCTTTATACAGTACTGAATCATTTTTATAGCCCAATTTCCAGAAATTTTAATCAGGATGCATTTATAAGGAATCAACAAGTGTACCAGCCGCCATCCATGTTCTCAGCAGGCACGGCAGTGCTGCGTTGTAACATCCTCTGACCATTCTTAATACTACAAAGCCTAGTTTTATAATACACCATCCCGCCCCAGAGGTAACCAAAGATTTTTGCAATTTCTTAAGTCAAAAGTGTAATGAAGCTACTCCACGAGAGAACACTAGCAACTAAAAAGGCACATTATTTGATCCTCAGGGTAATAACACCTTTGAGTGCGTGCTTAACTGTTGGTAGTCAGAGTGAAGCTTAG